CCAGCTCTGCCTGGGTTCATCTCACCTTGCTCTGCTTTGTGCTTCAGCCTCCCCAGTTCAAACTGGATCCTCGCCTGGCTCGTCTCTTGGGGATTCACACCCAGACCCGGCCAGTGATCATCCAGGCATTGTGGCAGTACATCAAGACCCACAAGCTCCAGGACCCCCACGAGAGGGAATACGTCATCTGTGACAAATACCTCCAGCAGGTACCTGGGGCTGGAACAAGCGACGGTCTCAGCTTTGCTTTGTCAGCAGCCAGTGATGACTGGCACGGAGCCCCCATCCCCTTCCCTTAGCCCTGTGTTTCTGTCACAGATATTTGAATCCCAGCGGATGAAGTTCTCTGAAATCCCACAAAGGCTTCACGCATTGCTTATGCCCCCAGAGCCGATCATCATCAATCATGTGATCAGGTGAGAGCACTGCTCTGCTTGATCTCATAGTTCTGTTCATATTCCTAGAATCACAGAATGGTTTGGGTTGGAAAGGACCTTAAGGTCATCCAGTTCCAACCCCCTGCCATAGGCAGGGACACCTTCCCCTGGAGCAGCTTTCTCCAAGCCCCTGTGTCCAACCTGGCTTTAAACACTGCCAGGGATGGGGCAGCCCCAGCTTCTCTGGGCACCCTGTGCCAGCCCCTCAGCACCCTCCCAGGGAAGAGCTTCTGCCTTATCTCCAACCTGAACTTCCCCTGTTTGTTTGAACCCATCACCCCTTGTCCTATTGCTCCAGTCCCTGATGAAGGTCCTTCTGCAGCATCCTTATAGCCCTCTTCAGATATTTGAAGGCTGCTCTGAGGTCTCCCCACAACTCCTCTTCTCCAGGCTGAACAGCCCCAACTTTCTCAGCCTGTCTTCATTTCTTTCTTTATATTTCTAGAAGGAGGAGTGGAGGGGATGGATGGGGCTGGCACAGGAAGGCAATGTGCTATGTTCTGGTTTTCAGCAGCAGTTCTCTTGTTGCCTGTCATTGTTTCTTTGTACGAGAACAGCCGCCTCTTTCGTTTACCACGTCCCTCTGTTCCACAAGGCACTCCCACGCTCATGCTGTCCTTTGCGTTCCACTTCTGTAGATAGAAATCTGCTTGGAGCAATCCCTTGGTCCTTGTGCTGCAAAGACATCAGTGGAGCTTTGCTGCTTGGTGTTAGCTTCAGCTCTAAGACTAATGTGGCTTCTCCCTGCCTGCAATCCATCTGCTGCATCATCCTACAGGAGCTACGGTTTGGTGCTGTCTTGAGCTGCTCACTTATTTTAGCTTCTTTCTTGTGGCTGCCCCTAGTGTTGACCCAAACGACCAGAAGAAAACAGCTTGCTATGACATCGATGTGGAGGTGGATGATACCTTGAAAACTCAGATGAATTCCTTTCTGCTATCCACAGCCAGTCAACAGGAAATTGCTGCTCTGGATAACAAGGTAGGGGAGAGCTCCTTCAGGTCTGCCCCTCTCCTTGCTGAGTGGGAATGTGTCTGGAGCAGGTGAGCCCTGAACAGGACAGGAGTTCAGGGAGCTGAAAAACCCTGTTGGACAGGTGTAAGACAGCCAGGGAGTAGAAGGATTTGCCTTCATGTGGTGCCATCTCTTGATGTTTCAGTGTGACTTTTTCCCCTATTCAGCAGTTTAGTTCTGTGCTTATCTCCTTCAGATTCATGAAACAATAGAGACAATTAACCAGCTGAAGACCCAGCGGGAGTTCATGCTGAGCTTTGCCCGAGATCCTCAGGGCTTCATCAACGACTGGCTCCAGTCCCAGTGCCGGGATTTAAAGGTAAAAGCTTTGACTTGTGTGGAAGGTGGATCCAGTCACACTCTTCCCTCATTATAACCAGCTCCCACTGAGAGAGAGAGGCAATTTCCTGCTCAGAAAGCAAGACTAGAATTGGAGTCAAGTGGAAGAACCTGACCTGACTCTACTGAAATGCCTTTGAGGAAAGGGGAGGGCTGTGGGTTTGCTCAGCCAGAGCTTTTGCACTCCCTGAACTGTTTCGTCCTTTGTGCTCTCCAGACAATGACTGATGTTGTTGGGAATCCAGAAGAGGAGCGTAGAGCTGAGTTCTACTTCCAGCCGTGGGCTCAGGAAGCTGTGTGCAGATACTTCTACTCCAAGGTGAGTGTCCCCAAGCAGGGGTCCTCCTCTGTACTCAGTGGTCCTGAGTACCTGTCACGACATGGGGGCAGATGCTCCTCGTGGAGAGTGGCAGTGTTAAGCTCCACTTGTAGACACTGCTGATGCCTCTTGCTCCCAGTTTGAGCTCGCCCAGTTTCCAGCTGGGCCCTGTGTTCCTGGGATGCTGTGGTGCTGCACCATCCGTGTATGTTAATGCTCCCCTCTGGCTTCTCTTGCAGGTGCAGCAGAGACGGCAGGAACTGGAGCAGGCCCTGGGAATCCGGAACACATAGATGCTCTGCTCCTCCCCACCAGAAGGCATCACAGCTCTTTGTGGAGCCAGAGCTGCAGAGTACGCTGTTAAAGCTCACATAATCCCGCTCCGGCAGCGAGGCCGCCTCATTATTCATCCTGGCATTGTCCCTGTTGGGGCAGCTCCAGGATACCTGCAATCTGCTGGGCCGTGGCAAGCAGATGGGCTCCAGTGAACACACATTTCTACCTGGTTTTCTTCCTGACTGTTGCCTTGCCCAGTCCCAAGGCTTCCGAGAGCCTCCCCTTGACTCTGCACTGCCTGTAGTGTGTCCCCATAGCCAGTTGCAGCTGCTGACTTGGAGCCTTTCTCAAGTTCAGAAACCACAACCTCTTCTTCCCCCAACTAGCATCTAGTTGTGGCACACAGGACCTGGCTCTGGGAAGCCTGGAGCTGCTGTAAAAGTGGAGTTCTGTGGCTAGTCTCTTCCCTGCCTCGTGTTATAGGAAGCTACCAGGAGATGTAGTGGGCAGGATGCTGTGAGCTGACATACCTCCCTGCCCTCACTCCCTCGTGTGGAGGGTGCTGCTGCACTGGGCTGCCTCATGGGTCACTCTCCTCCTTGAGGAAGTCCCTGGACTCTGTAGAGAATCGCTTCTTCCCCTGCCCCTCTTTTCCTGCCCTGTTCCCTTTGTGTTCTTTGACAGACTGTCCTAGGCTGGTATCACAGGGCAGAGGAGATGTTGGTTTATTGCAGGGATGTGGAAGCACTGGAGTGGTGAGACCTCTCTGCGCTTCAAAAGACCTCCACTTGCTGTTGCCTCAAACCATCTGGCTGCTGCTTCACCCTGTAGCAGGGAGAGGGGATGCAGCAACTGCCTGGTGGAATTGTGTGGGGACACAATGTTGTAGGCTTATTCCTTTGGGACAGTTATCCTGTGTCACTTGCTGTGGGGACCAGAGGCTCCTTTGTGTGGGTCTGAGGGTGGAACAGGACAGTCCTTGGGAATGGATGTATCTCCAAGCGTGTAGGAGTTAGCAGGTGTGTTTCCATGCTGAAGCTCCTGTGGGTTTTAGTCAAGTAGGTTTTGGGGCTGCCATAAGGCCCAGCATGGTTTCAGGAATGTACAAGTAGATTTTTCTCTACTCTGGGGAGCAGCAGCCCAGATGCCTCTTCATGGAATGAATTACTAGTGGTTAAGTGTAAGAGAAAGCCTTCTCTTGACCTAGATCTTGGTATTTCTGCTCGGGACTGTAATGCAAATGGACTTGAAAGTTGGTTGGATTCTCTTGGAATAGCTGCAAAGCCACATTACTGATGCCCCCCCCCCCCCATCCCCCCACCCACCTTTGGTGTGGTTGGGAAGGTTGCTATGAATTTGGGTGGCCCTGCTCCTTGTGTCTGTGTTATACATGTCTGTGAGTAATAGACTCTCGACTTCCCTTCTCCTCTGCCCCCTTAGGCAATGGCTCCTCTGTGGTACTGGGGTGAAGGTCTTGGTGCTGATGAAGCAGCCCACTGACTCCTCAGGGGAATCACACATGAAGGATGCTGAGTCCCACGTAGGCAAATGTAGCTGTTGCAGAGTAACTGATTTTCTTAACTGACTATTATGGGTTTTTTTTCCATGGACCAAATTTTTTTTGTACTGTATCCTTGTAGACGTCACCCAGTTTTAATAAAAGCCTCCTGTGAAGGAAGCTGTCCTCCTCCTTCTGTGCTGCCAGCACCCTTCCTCTCAGCTTGGGGGATGATGCTTCATTTGCTTGCCTGGGAAGGGGCAGAGGGACAGGATTATCTCCACTTCTCCTTCTCAAAGCCAACTGGGTTAAGAGACGAGCGAAAAGGTTCTTCATATTTTGGCCTTTTATAGAGCGCCGTTGGTGTAGGGATCTCTTGGCTTGCAGAGTCTGTTGAGCCTTTGCAAAGTGCTTTGGTGGCAAACAAGCAAAGTCACTTGAGCAAAACTGGAAATGCAGCAACCAACCTGCTGATAAAATCCACTCGTCCCCATTTTCACCCTCTGCTGCCTTGCAGAACGTGGCAGCCCGTTACGTGCCCCATGGGCATCAGGTGGCATTTTGAGGAACCTGTATTAAAGCTTACATACAAGGGTTTAAAACTGTGGAAAAGGGAATTCTCTGCTCACCCTGCCTTGTTCATAAACGTAGCACTGTGATAATGCTGTACAGAAAACCTCTAAGCCCTTGGAGCATCAACAGATGCTCTAGAGAAGGGCGAGCGGTTTGCCTGAGGTCAGGCAGTTGCTGCTGCTGCTGCTTCAGGCAGTGAGATGAGGGAGGGAGCTGTGGCCTGGGTTTGCAGCCAGGTGGTTTGTCCTTCCTCGGGGGGGGGGAAATGGCACTTCGGAAGAGAGGGAGAATAAAACGCTTTATTACAGGAAAGGGGAGAGATTTGGCAGTCCTGACTCCCGGTTCAGCACAGATTTGGCATCAGCCGTTTCCCCTTTGCTCCAGGGAAGCAATGCGCACCTGCGGTGCAGCCCCGCGATACCGAGCACCGCTGGGGCCGCCCCGGGGCTCTGGTGCCCGGTTCCCCGGGGTGAGGCGGGGCCAGAGGCGGGACGGGGCCGTCCCCGCTCCCGCTGCTCCGGCCAGCCTTGAAATAGCAGCGGCGGGGCTCGGCGCTGCGCAGTGCCCCCGGTTCCCGGCACCATGGGTGGCAAAAGAGTCTGCATCGTGGGCTCCGGCAACTGGTGAGCCCCTGCCCTCGGGCACTGGGCACGGTGGCCCCCGGTACGAGCTGTCCCCGTGCCCACTGCCCCCCTGGCTCTGCTCTGCCCGTGCAGGGGCTCGGCCATCGCCAAGATCGCCGGCAGCAACGCGGCGCGGCTGAGCACCTTCGAGAACCAGGTGAACATGTGGGTGCTGCAGGAGGAGGTGGGCGGCCGGCAGCTCACGGACATCATCAACACAGAGCACGAGAACGTCAAGTACCTGCCAGGGCACAAGCTGCCCCCCAACGTGGTGAGTGTGGCACCGTGGTGGCCTCCCTGCCGAGCGCCAGGGCCGGTGCTGGCAGCCAGGCTGTGGTGAGAGGTAATAAACAGCCCCGCCGGAGCCCTGGGCACTGTGCTGTGAAGGCAGGGGATGCCGCGGGCTGCACAGGCTCCGTGACACGCTCCCAGTGACCTTGATCTGTGCTTGGACGAGCTGCAGCCCTGGCTGCTCTCGCTGCCCACCTTTGCCCCTGCTCCGGTATCCTACAGCCTGGGCTTGAGGCCATTTGCTGGCTGTGCTCTGGGCCCATGGGGCCTCCTGCCCCACGCCAGGATACGCGGCCCCTCGGCACTCCTGTGGGACCAGCTCTGCTTCTGCCTCTCTGCTCTGCCAGCCCTGGAAAAGGGGACCTCGGGGCAGTGACTTGTGCCCTTCCTTCCCTTACAGGGAAGCCCCCGTTAGTTACTCTCAAGCCTCTGCTCCCCTTGGATCCAGGACATAGTCACCATACAAGTACAGGCACAAGTCCCTTACAACAGCCCTACTCTCTTCAGGTAGCAGAGCCAGACCTGCTGAAAGCCTGTGCTGGGGCTGACATCCTCCTCTTTGTGGTGCCCCACCAGTTTATTGGCAAAGTCTGTGACCAGCTCAAGGGCCATGTGAAGAAAGATGCTGTTGGGATGTCACTCATCAAGGTGTGAGCAGGGGGAGCCCAGGCAGGTCATTGGGGTGCTGGGCTAAAGGGGTTTAACTGAGAGCAGCCTGGCTTGGAGGAGCTGCAAAGGAACCCTAGGATTCTGGGGGAGAAACTGGGCTCTGGGGTTATGGGGTGATGCGGGAGGTGGGGATTTGGAGGGGCGTTGGTGGAGGAGAAGAGTGAGGGCATGTGGGGGACCTCAAGCACTGTGAGGAGGGGGGTGCAGCTGAGCACTGGCAGGGCTGTGGGGATGAGAGCAAGAGCATTGCAGCACAGGGAATGACGGGCTGGGGGCAGGTCCTCACCTCTGTCCCTGGTTGTCTCCCAGGGGGTGGATGAAGGACCAGATGGGCTGAGGCTGATCTCTGACATTATCCATGAGAAACTGGGAATAGAGATGAGCGTCCTCATGGGGGCCAACATTGCAAATGAAGTGGCAGAAGAGAAGTTCTGTGAAACAACCATCGGTAAGGAGCCAAGAACCCCCCTCAGCAGCAGCCTTCACTCCAGAGGAGTGGGAAGAGTCAAAGGGCTGAGCGTGGCGCAGCTCAAACCGCCGCTGCCTCGCATGAGCTGAGCCCAGCAGAGGCAGCGCCGCTCCATAGGAGCCGGATGAGCTCATTCACAGGGTTTACAATGTGATTGCTTGCTTCATTAAAACCAGAGTTGTGTGTCTAAAAGTTCCTGCCAGCACAGACTCAGCATCAGGCAGCGTGCCTGGCACAAATCAAAGGGGTGGACACCAAGAGGCCCTTTAGAAATAGAGTCCCTACCTTCGTTTCCTTGCACTTCAAGGGAGACGCTCACCTGGATCCCGTGTTGTTGCCAGGCAGGGCTGCTTGAAAGCTCATCTGCTGGCTGTTGCTAACATCCTCCACACTGTTTGTGAATGAGGCACAGCAGCCAAAACCAACAGGCCAGTTTGCTGCTGGGTTAGAAGTTCCAGGATTCAAAGTGTCTGTATTTCAAACAAAAGGAAACGTGCTGTGCAGGAGGGGGCAGAGACCGGAGAGGTACAAACAGAGCGTGTTACCACTGTGAGCACAGAGATGCTCTTGCACTGCAGGAACAGGGAGAACAGCAGTGTCCAAACCCACATTTGCAGCCTTTGAAGATGCCTTTCATTTACTGGATATGTAATTTCCTGACACAGCAGCAGGGACTGTCCCTGTGTTATGGGAATTCCAAGGCCGAACCTTGCTTATCTGCCCCACAATCTGGACCTGCAAATGTTTAGCAATGCCCATCAGTTGGGCAATAGGTTCCCCTCGCTGCACTAGCTGCAAGGGTTTTTGCTGCAGGAACACACCACTGGGCAGGAGAACGGCACAGTCCTACCTTAGGGCCTTCCCCCATCATCTTCCTCCTTCCCCCGTTGTCTCATCAGGCTGCAAGGACCTGCAGCATGGGCAGACACTGAAGGAGCTGATGCAGACACCGAATTTCCGGGTGACAGTGGTGCAGGAAGCTGACACGGTGGAGATCTGTGGGGCTCTCAAGGTGGGTGAGCTGCTCACTGGGCTTTGCAGGTCTTGGTTAGCAGAGCCTGGGATTCCCTATGGCCCTGCAGGCAGATCTGGGGAGGAGGCTGACAGCAGAATGAACCCCTCTGGGTACTGCACTGTGGCTCACTGAGACCTTTGGGTCAAAGGCCCTTTGGATGTGTCCTGCTCAGCTGCTTGGAGCAATGATGATCACTGGATCATCAGGAGCAGGCAGGAGCCTGTGCTTGGGATCACACTGGCAGCTCACAGACACAGCAAAGCCCTGAGTTCCACTGGGAACAGACCCTTCTACGATGCTGCTGTTTTCCAGAACGTTGTGGCTGTAGGAGCAGGTTTCTGTGATGGGCTCGGCTATGGAGACAACACAAAGGCTGCCGTGATCCGTCTGGGGCTGATGGAGATGATCGGCTTTGCCAAACTCTTCTGCAAGGGCCCTGTCACCTCCTCCACGTTCCTGCAGAGCTGTGGGGTTGCTGATCTCATCACTACCTGCTACGGTGGCCGCAACCGAAAGGTGGCTGAGGCTTTTGCCAAGACTGGGAAGGTAAGAGGAGCAACCCTGGTACCTGCATCCCCATGCTGAGGGAAACCCAGGCAGCGCCATGGAACATGCTGCCTTCACTCACCCAGTGCCAGAGCCTGGCTCCAGGGAAGGGATGTGGGGTGGCAGATGGGGTTGCAGGGTCCGGTTCCCTCACTTGTTGGGTTGTTCCAGTCTCTTGAGCAGCTGGAGAAGGAGATGTTGAATGGGCAGAAGCTGCAGGGTCCCCAGACGTCTGCTGAGCTCCATCGCATCCTGAAAAGCAAGAATGCGGTAGAGAAGTGAGTGCTGCCATCTCCCTTGCCTGCTCTTTTGGGGGGGGGCAGAAGGGGAACCCCACCCTCAGGGTCCCTCCTCTTCAGGTCAACCTCTGCGTTGCCCACATCAAACCAGCTGGCCAGGAACGGCCTGTTGGATGGAGGCAGCAGGACACTGCCCTATCTGCTCCTGCCCAGTGGTCCTGCACGTCACTGCAGGAGGTGCTCTGACCCTGCCAGCTGTGGTGACAGGGCAAGGGGTGACTTTGTTCATCTGCCCACAGGTTCCCCCTCTTCACAGCTGTGTATCGGATCTGCTATGAGGGCAAACCCGTTACTGATGTCATCAAGTGCCTCCAGAACCACCCTGAGCACAAGTAAGGGGGCTCTGCCTGCAAGACCTGAGCCTGCCAAGATGAGCAGAGAGCTACAGCTTTGTAAGGAGTCCAGGTCTCCTGGGAGCCTTTGCAGGGTGCTGGAAGGGCAGAGGGTCCCTTTCTCAGCCTTGGACACTGCCAGCCTGAGCCTGGCATCTGCACAGAGGTACCTGTTGATCTCCCTTTCTCTTCGAAGGGCTCATTTAGCTTCTGCTGCTGTCTAGGCTCTGCCCTGAGCAGGGCTGAGCATCTTCCTCCTTCTACTTTCTCCTGCTGTGATGAACTCAGTTCTCAGAGGGACTCTGCCAGCTCACCTTAAGGAGGCACTGCCTGGAGGACAAGCTTTGCTATTAGCCCCATGGAGCCACTCTGCATGACACCAACCCTCTCCTGCTTTTAGCTTAACTATCTCATGCAGAGGACACAGTTCCCAGCCAGGCTCCACCAGGGTGAATGAGGCTCCCCAGGACCTGTGAGGGGCTGAGAATCACTCTTCTTTCTAAGCAGCCCAGCACAGAGCCCAACACCCTTTGCCACGTTGCCATGTGCTGCTGCCCCAGCCACCCCCAGCTGCCCTGGCCAATGCTTTGTGCGTGAGGGCACTTGTTTATTTAGGCTTTTGGCTCTTGCACTCAAACCTCCCCTGTTGTCACAGCTTTGCCCATGCTGATTCCGTGCCCATCCCTGGACAGCCTTTCTCCCTCACTTGTTTGTTCTCTTGGCTTTGGCAATGCAGGGACCAACTGCCCCAAAGTCTTTGTGAGCAGCTGTAACAAGTGCAACCCTTGGCTGTGGACCTGACAGAGCAGTTGGGTCATGTTGCTTTTAGATGGATGAGCCACAGCAGCTTTTAGCCTTCTCTCTGCCTTGCTCTACTCTGTGCCTTAGCCCAGTCTTTGCTTCTGTATGTGGCTTTCTAGGAGCTGAGAAAGCAGGTTCCATGCTTCCTTTCCCTGCTGCCCCTCTTGCGAGGGTGCTGGAAAGTGCCCTGGCACAAGGGGCAGCAAAGGATGCGTGACCCACAAAGAGACACAAGGAGACCTCCGACACCACAGGCGAGGACAGAGGTCTCATGCCTCATGCTGTGCCTTTGACGCTTGCCCCGTGTCCAGCCGGGTGCCACGTGCTTTCCGGCCCTCTGAAGCTGCTCCTGTTTGCTCAGGCCAGCGTGGCCGGTTCAGTGATCCCTGTGGGGGCTGGCAGGCTGGAGCTGCCCCAGGGCTCGCTGTCCACCCCTGTTCCAGGTCCTCGAGCTGCTGGCTCCCTGCCTAGCCCTGTACCTTAGGAATGTTTAAAGTGATAATAAACGTGGAGAGGAGATGGGAGACACGCTCTTTGCTCTGTGGCATCCTTGCCTTTGGGTTGGTGCCTGCTGGACTTGCTGAGAGTGCAGAGAAGGGCACTGTTCGTTCCCTCCTGGCTCTGCACCCTTGTGTGCTGTTCCAGAAACAGCAAGAACGCCTCTGCAGGTCCTCGCTCAGTCACAGCACAGCGCAGTGTCCCACTTGCCTTCTCTCAGCAGTGTTGCCTGGAGGAGTGAAGAGGGTTGAGGTTGCAAGGGTGTAACTGGGTAGAGTCCAAACTCTTCTACCTGGGGCCTGCAGGAGCTGGGCCAGGACCCTGCTGTGCCCCATGTCCCCCAGGCCACCCCTCCTCTGATGTCCTGGCTTCTTGGAACACGCCGTGTTGCTTTCTTCATCTCTTCCCGAGTACTTTTCCCAGCCTTGCCCTGTTCCTGCCTTTCTCTGAAATGCATCTCACACTGAGTGACCTTTCCAGGGCCGTTCGCCCTCTGCTCAGCCTCTTGCAAGGGGAATTTAATCTGCTGGCATTGCATCGTTTCTGTGTCTTTTATTAGACACGCTTCCTCGCCGGGTCCCCTCCGACCTTTAACGAGGACCGAGCTATCCTGCAGCAAGCAGCCAGCATCAGCTTCCTCTCACAAGGAACTGTTGAGGTTGGAAGGAGGATAAAGGAAGTCCAGCGTGGTCCCGCAGGGCTGGCACAACTCCTGCTTCCCTTCGCCCTCACGGCCTTCAGGCATCCCGGTTCAAGCGTTTGGATGTGAGGCTCAGCCAGGAGGCAGACGCTCGGAGCTCTCCCCCTTCAGGGCACTGCAGTCTCTCACCTGGGCTGGCTCAACTCTTGCCAGCCCCTGCCTGGAGCTGCAGCAGAGCTGGGACTGGGGCTGGGAGCTGCATTCACCTGACGGCTCCTCTGCAGTGGAAGCGCTTTGTGCATCCCTCCTCCTGCGGGCTCCTTGGCACTGGGGCCCGAGTCCCTGCTGCAGCCCCTCGCTGTGCCTGCTGAAGGGCCCGCGGCCACTGCTCCAGGCCCTTGCTGCTCGCCACCCCCTGCCTTGCCCTGCTGCTGGAGTCCAGCAGCTATAAAAAGCCTTCCCTTTGCCATTTGGGGTTATGTTCTGCAGGCTCAGCACATCCAGGCCCTGCGGCTGGGGCAGACGATGAGGGAGCCGGGGAGGAGGGCGGGGGGGGGAGGCTTGGCTCCTGCAGCCTCAGCGCTCGACAGAGCCCCTGGAGCAGCGCAGCGCGGACACAGCCGCGTTCACGGCGCTCGGGGAGGGTGGCTCCTGCAGAAGGGCCGGCACAAGGAGAAACGGCCGCGGGGATGAGGGGGGTGCAGCGGCCGCCATGACCCGAGGTGGGCGCCGAGCGGCTGAGGTGAAGCAACCCGGCCTCCACCCGCCAGGGGGCGCTGCAGAAGACTACACATCCCAGCGGGCAGCGCGGCGACCCCGGCCCTCCCCACGTGACAGGCGGAAGGCGGAAGCGCCGCGCAGCCAGGCCGCGCCGGTGGAAGCGGAGCCCGGAGGCGGAGGTAGGGCCGTGGGGAGCGGGTAACGGGCGCGCTCCCGGCGGCGCTGACCCTCACGTTGCGTTGCAGGAACGGCCATGGTGTCCGGCAAGCAGCTGGCGGATTTCGGCTACAAGGCGTTCTCCGGCTCCATGATGCTGCTGACGGTGTACGCCGGGTACCTGTGCAGCGTCCGCGCCTACCGCCTGCTCGAGCGCCGCCGGGAGCGGCAGGCCGCGGCCGGCCCCGAGAGCTGAGGGCGCCGGGGAAGGGGGGGGAGAAAGGAACCCACCCCCCACACACGCACACCCCCCCCCCCCGGCCGAGGGCCTGCCCGGCTGGTGGAGGGAGTGGAGCACGATAAAAACCGTTATAAATATGTATAATAAAATATAATGAAAACGGACAAGGGTGGGGCCGTGCTCTGTGTGCCCAAAATGGCATGGTGACACCCCAAAATGGTGCTGTGTGTGCCCAAAATGGTGTTGTGACACCCCAAAATGGTGCTGTGTGTGCCCAAAATGGCATGGTGACACCCCAAAGCGGTACTGTGTGCCCAAAACGGTGTTGTGACACCCCAGAACAGTGCTATGTGTGCCCAAAATGGCACGATGACACCCCAAAATGCTGCTGTGTGTGCCCAAAATGGCATGGTGACATCCCAGAACAGTGTGCCCAAAATGGTGTGGCGACACCCCAGAACAGTGCTATGTGCCCAATATGGCATGGTGACACCCCAAAATGGTGCCGTGTGTGCCCAAAACAGTGTGTTGACACCCAGAACTGGTGCTGTGTGTGCCCAAAATGGCATGGTTACACCCCAAAACAGTGTTACGTGTCCAAAACGGCACAGTAACACCCCAAACTGGTGCTCTGTGTGCCCAAAGTGGGATGGTGACACCCTAAAACCAGGTACCTGTGAGTCTTAAAACGCTGCCTCCCAGCCTCAGGCAGTAGGGCAGCTGCTCAGCATCCCAGCAAAAGGCCAGACCCCATCCTTGATTGTAGGTCTCACACTGAACCACATCAGTGACATTTCTGAAGCATCTTTTAATTGGAGATAAGAGTAAACAATGGTATAAAATGGTAACAACTCAAGAAGTTTCCAAACTTCTGCTCATGATTGACACAGGTCCTCCATTGCCCCCAAGTACCATTAAGTAAAAAATAAAGAGACCAAAAAAGCAAAGCCTGTGGTGGGGCTGCCTCTCCAGCCCAGGGATTCCTCCATAACAGTTGCAAAACCAGAGCAGCAACATTGCCTCCTGTCTCAAGAGTACAGTCAAGCAGGTCCAAACCATCTTATTTTGGGGAAACACAGCCCACCAGTACTGGTCCAGCCTCAAGTCCCAGCTTAGCCAACCGTGTCCAGCAGGTCTAGGGAAGTCTTCAAAACCACCAGTTGCAACAGAAAAGACATGAATTTAAAAGGCATGTATTGTGATAGTTGTCTCAGAGGCAATGAACAACCTCCCTCCCCATCTCAGAAGGCTGTAGTCAAGACTTCACAGAGGGGCTTGCAGCACCGAAGTAGGCAGCAAATGCTGGCCTGGTCCCTCACGACAGCAGGGAGCTAAGTGACAACCTTCACATAGAGCACCCTGATGGCAAGTTAGAACGTTTCTGGTGTAGCCTGGTCCAGTTCAAAGCTGGGCTGGAGTCCAGAGTGCTCACAGCAGGGCTGAGAATGAATGTACCCAAGCCACAGCCGGGGTAGCTTGGACATGGAACCACAGGACCCCACGTTCTCCATGCTCTGAAGTGGTTTCTGGAGTGCATCGGGGAGATAATGCAGAGCCTGTGCTGGAGCAAACCATCACTGGAATGGCAGCAGACCCCTCCTGTGGTCAGCAGCCAGCTGAGTCCAAACTCCTTCCACCTTGAGTTGATCCTAGTAAAAACCAGTTTGTCACAAAGACACCTCTGCAGATATCGATGGGTCTAAGATTTAAGTACAAAATGGCTTGAAGTGAAATCTGCAGCTTCGTTTTTGCCCTAAGTCATTGGCTTTATCCCTTTGGCTGTGCAAAGCCTCTGACTGGTCTGGACTGTGCCCATTTCAGATTTGCTGGAGGTTTCTGGGGAAGGGGTATCTTGATTAAAGATCACTTGGGAATGTGGAGCTCAACACACCTAGATATTTAAAGACAAGTTCGTGTTTGCTCTAGGCCAACCCACAGCCTTACTCGTCCTCTGTCCACTGCCCACCAGCCACATGACCATTAATGCAGTTGGAGCCATTACTTGAAGTGCTGAAAACTCCTTTTGTGCTGTTGGAGGTCACCTCCTCCTCTTCAGAGCTGCTCTCCACATCACTGCGGTCATCTTTGGATACCTGAGCATTTCAAAAGGAAATGGGGCAGTGGCATGGGGGGAAAAGGAGGATGAAAAATTCACAGGAAACAGTAATTAGAAGGTTGCATCCATGTGATGAACCAGCTTCAGTTACACTGAACATTTGATCCTGAATCCCTTCAAGCTCCCAAGAGGGAATCACATACAGAATGCAAGACACACACACAGAAAGGGACAATTTGGAAATGGGAGTCCCATGCTCCAAATACTCTACATCTCTAGAAGCACTTTCCAGATCAGAGGGCACTATTTGGCTGTTCTTGTTCATTCTAGATGGGCTAAAGGCCACTTTTCCAACCAACACACTTGTTTTGAATCACTCAACTTCTCGCAGTATAATGAGTTCTGTGATGCTCAAAGCCCATGGATCTATACAGCAGTTGGAGAGAGAACATTCTGTCCTAGAGGGAGTGCCTTGGAGACTTTAAAAATTAACCAGCTGTATTTATCACATCACTGTTTGCACAAAGTGCCTCCCATTCTCACAGCTTGTGGTTCACACAGGAGAACTCATTTACAAGCAGAAGCTTATTCTGTAGCCCAGTGTCCAAACAATGACAACTATCCCTTCCACCAAACACCCGCTCAGGAGCAAAAGGAGCATCTCAGCCCTGAGATCTAGACCTGCTTTGCAGAGTTATGCCTTCAGTTAAAGGACTGCCCTCAAACCCAGCTGAATTTCTTTTGCATGTGGGGTTTTGAACCTTCTGAAGCAGACTCAGGCACGCTCTGGTGCCAGCCGCTGCGGATGCCGCAGGAGGGCACTGTACCAGCACAGAGCCACCACACCAGAAGGTGAAGGAAGAGATCATAAACCCGGCCCCAACTGCAAACAAGCACTTCGGTTGGTGGCAGGGAGCCAAAGCCATAAACTCACCAGCGCTCAGCAGCCTGTGGTGAGCAGCCTGTGCTTTGCATACCCCAAGGCAGGTTCTTCACGCTTTTGCAGCTAATAGCCCTCATTTACTTAATAGGTGAAGCACTTAGTCCTTTCCAAGGGTTTCACCCTACTCTGCCCTAAGTCAGGGCTAGGGCTTTTGAACAGCAGCAGGCAGGAAGTTTTTGAACTCAAAGGAAGATCTGGAGGAAAGCCAGGTAAAGTCAATGATCTCCAGGACTGGTTCTGACAGCCCTGTTGGATGTCCTGGCTTCTGTCTCTTGCCAGAACTTCTGCTATCTTGCCCTGTTCTCCTGCTAGGCTGGAAGCTCAAAGAGTCACTGGAAGGAAGCTGAAATCCCTGGAAACTTTCCCCATTATTTGGGGGACAAGTGACTGCTTTACTCCTTCTAGCAAACAGCACTGCATTGCTCCTGTGCTCTTCCACTCAGCACAGTGTTCATGAGACAGGTATCAGAGTCGCTGTGTGCGTAGAAAAGCAAAAAGGTGAAGGTCATGCAACCTGCTGAAGGCAGATAAGAACAAACCCCAGGACACTGCTCTGACCTTTGGAAAAAGCTGCATTTTAGCATAACTATGAGAACCAGCACTCTGTCAGCCAGGGAGAGAAGCATTTTAAGAGAAGGTACCAGCCATTTAAAGCCCCAAGACCACGTCTTTGCTTTTGTCTTAGCCTGGAAACAGCCACAGGTGCGTTTCAGCGAACAACCAGAAGCACAGATCACACTTACATGCAAAGGATGAAACTGTCCAGCTCCAATCTGGCACAGAGAAAAGGAAGAAAGAATGAAGAAGACAGAGCTTAGAGTCCTTTCACTGGCTAGGTCACCTGGACAGGAGAGAACCAAGGAAGATGTAGACCTCAGGCTACAGAAACAGGCAGAAAATAAGACATTTGCAGTAGCAGCTATGGGGAGCAGATATAAAGATTATGTATATACTGCCTCAGATTACGTACATACTGCCTCAGACAACTACCATGTATTTTTCAAGCTTACATTCCATGTGTAGGGGCAGCTAAGAAGTGAAACCAAGCAGAGTCATCAGAGAAACTCAGATCAAAATACCAAGGATCTGATTAAAATAAAAGCAAAGGCATTTGTGCTAGGAGATTGGCTGTTGCTCTCTGGCAGCTGCAAAGGAAGTGGCTTCTCGTGATGTTTAGGCTGGGTGTGAAATTAGTTTCCAGCCTGGCTTGCTCCGTTTCATGCTACTTCAGCTGAAGTCACCTTTTTGCCTGGCAACTGAGGTTGCTGCTGGAAGTCAGCACGGTTCACTCCTGGGGCAGTGTGTGTTGTGAACCAGCTGCTGTTGTTTCACCTTCCCTCTCCCTAAAACTCCCAAACCAACTTAGAATTGGAATACTCAGGACTGAACGCAGACTGCACCACATCAGCCCAGTGACAACCAGCAAACCACAGCATTTCTGATAACCCTTTCTCCTCTGCATGCTGTAGCTCAATGCCTGGCCTGCTGTGACAGCCAGAAGCTGCCTTAGTGCTAAGAAGTGGAAGATGCAGAACTCCCATTATATCCCAAGAACCAGCTGAAGTTGGAAAGCATCCTGTATGGTTGTTCAGAAAAAGAGCCTACTATCACCTTTAAAACATCATCATCATTACAACATCTGAACACGCTAGAAAATGGTGTTGTTTCCCTGCATGACCAGAACAGAGGAACACATCCTCTTGGTACACACCTGGCAATTCAAGTCTGCAGAGCACCCAAGGTAAAAACCTGCTGCTCTACAAAGCATTCCTGAGGCAAGCAGGTCAAGAACCAGCACCAGCCCTCACTGAAGGGCCCAGCTCCTCATGATTGCTTTAAGAGGGCTTGTAGGAAAGGGGTCCCAAGCCAGTGGCCAGCAACCTTACCTTTCCCCGCATGAGGGCCTTGTAGGCAGTGCGAATGATGAGATAAGACCAGATGATATGCAGGATCTGCAAAGTCACCAAGAGCCCATTGAAGAGCCACCACGAAGGGTATGGACCAATCAACTCCCAGCTTTCA